AGTATTTTTCTTTAGCAGACCATAGACTCTTTCTTGACAAGCCACTTCCCCGATTTGTGAACAATGCATATAGTTTGCTTCTACATGAGAGGTATTGTCGACTTGGAAGTTGCGGGTAGTGGAAAAGTTCAAGTTTCCATTGATTTATCGGTGTAAACCGCCCCTTTTAAGTGAGCTCAATCGTCTAAAAGGCTACAAGGGTATGTCTAGCAACTGTCTCGTATTAGCGACGCTCACAAGACCTGCGCAATGCCAAAGAAACAACGACTCGAGATTAGGCCACCCATCTTGTTGGAATAAGGAACCAAAGAGGTGCTTTTGCTTATCGCAGGGTATACTCATGCATGGCATCGCATGTCCTTTCCTCTCTCTGCTCCTCTGCCGACGCTGCTTTATGTCCCTTCACTTAAAAAGGGCTTATGTGAAGTAACAACTGAAATTTTTAAAAAGGGAGAATTAGCTCGCAAACCATCTCTGTAATATAAGTATAAAAGGAAATCTGAAAATAATTCCCCAATATTGATTTATTTTGATTTTCCGAAGTCAAGTTATATTTTTCCACGAAAATCCGGAAACCGGATGTGTGACGTTCATTTCAGAACACAATCACAACATTCTCTGCATTCAATAAAAGGCGGACTCACTACAAGACTACAGCGGCAGTGAAATAAGTGAAGTTTCATCGGATTATTCCGACGAGGACATTGGTACAACTTCTTCAGAGGTTGCCTATGTCTTCGAAGAGTTGGAAGACGAGGAATATCAATGGTTAATGGTTGTTGGACCGTACATGCACGAGCCCGACGCTGTGGATGACTTGGAAGTTGTGCCAAACCAGCCAGACATGGAGTGGCGTCGAGACCCGAAAGATGAATGGTAATTTTTCGAACGTGTGATCCCGCTTCTGTATGGTACAAAATTTCTGCAGGCTGAGCTATCTGCACCCGTGGCGTAGGCCTACATCCATTTGCGAGTGGAGGGACATCGGTATTTATTTGTGTTGTGCTTTTTGAGGTGTACCTACCCTACCTCTGTGTAGTAATACATGCACACTTGCAATGCAGTCGGCATGTGGCGGACGCCACAATCACCTCCACACCGGCGCTGTCGCGCTCCGCTTAATTGCCGCATTCAACACCGGCGCATCTCGCTCGTCATAATTGCCCTTACGCCGAATCAGCCGGCAGGCAAGCGTGGCGAGGTACGCGGCGCTGATTCGCCGCGACGCGGAAGATAAGGATGAACTGTCGGCCAATCATTACATCACCTTGCCCTATTTGTACATATACCGCATTTTCCGCCGAAAAATACACACACTTCATCGTCTTCTCTGCAACGAGTTTAATTCTCCTGTCTGCTCAGGACCTAGGGCTCTCTCAATTACCTCGCCCTAGGCTTCTACATTGGTGACCCCGAAACGACATGAACTCCAATGCAGCCACCCTCTTCACTGAAGTGAATGCTGCCTACATCCGCCTTCCACCCTTCTCACCAAATGGAGCCCTCACATGGTTTCGGCGAGCTGAAACCCAGTTCAGGCTTAAGAATATAGTGAAGGCGACCATCAAAAAAAGCATACCACGTCATGGCCGTTTTACCCGAGGAGGTATTCCACCGGATAGCCCCCTGGTTAGATACCCAGCCGGACGAAATTGAGTACGACACTGAAGCAGGAGCTGTTGAAGTTCTCTTTCTCCATCTGAGAGGGCGCGACAGATCCTCAACATCCCCAACACACCGCTTGGAGACCGGACTCCTAAACAAGTCTGGCAGGAAATCACCCTAAGCCGCCTCCCCACCAAAGACGCAGAAGGAAAGTTCCACGAAGTGGACCTTAAAAAAGAAATTTGGCTCCGCTCTCTCCCCAGCAACATCACGGAGAAACTCCACGACTCAAACGAGACGGCCATCGAAGTCCTCCTCACCAGAGCCAACACACTGATGGAAGCTCATCGGCAAGCCCGCCCTCAGTCAGCAGCCCCCGTTTTCCCGTCGGCCGGTACCGACAACAACGCAGCCACAATCCCGATTAACGCAGCAACTGCGCGAGGGACCAACACGAACCGGAGGCTCTTCGCCCTATACCTTACCGCAGACGGTATCTGTTCGTACCACAAGCGGTTCGGCAACGCGGCCTACCATTGCCTCAACGGATGTAGGTGGAAGCCTCGAAGACGTCCACAACAACGTGGAAGGTGGCCACTACGCAACACGGCCACAACATTGAACAACGCAGTCAACCGCCCCCGACGCCCAGAGATTTTTTCCACAACAACGGCTCGTGACACTCAAGCGAGAGGACCTCCGCAAGGGAGCCCGGCAATTCACTGCCAGTAGACCTACCCGTAGCTCTCATCACCCACCCTACATCCCAGCAGGATGGCCGAGTTCGCCCTTCCACCATGATGGCACCACCTCCACGAGATCCGGACCCCATTCTCGTCCGCGCAGGATCCTCACTCTGAAGTCCTTTCTTCCTCGATAGGGGGGAGGCATTGTGGCGGACGCCACAATCACCTCCACACCGGCGCTGTCTCGCTCCGCTTAATTGCCGCACTCAGCACCGGCGCACCTCGCGGGGCATAATTGCCCTTACGCCGAGTCAGCCGGCAGGCAAGCGTGGCGAGGTCCGCGACGCGGAAGATATGGATGAACCGTAGGCCAATCAGTACATCACAACCGCGGACGACCCTGCAGTATTGCCTTGCCCTATTTGTACATACACCGCATTTTCAGCCGAAAAATACACACACTTCATCGTCTTCTCTGTAACGAGTTTAATTTTCCTGTCTGCTCAGGGCCTAGGGCTCTCTTAATTACCTCGCCCTAGGCCTCTACAGCCACACTGTGTTGTACCCACGCAAGAAATATTTGCTACGCCGCCAAGCAAAAGCGCTCTTTCAGAGTTTGTTTTGCGCTGTTGTGATGACAAATATAAATTGGAAATGGCCTACCGTTTTCCTAATCCTATGTCGTAAGCCATTCTGTTCGCAAAGCAATCGGGCTCGAAGTGTTTCAGGCAAAGTACGCTGGTTGGCACAGGCTGAAAGTTTCTCCGCTTGGCATGCACAAAACGTGTCCACTTCCTTGCTCTGTCGCGGTCTTTTGGCCATTCAAATAGCTAGTGACATTAATTGGAAAAAAATGAATTGCTACACAACGCCGCAGCATCCTTTGTTACAAACTTCAATAGCTTGAAACATTCCGAGATATCCTCGACTCGCGGTGCACTGTGTGTTTCACGGTATTCAACTAGATTCTCCCCGTTTCTGGTAGTGACGTTACAACCGGGATTGCCAAAGACCACCAAGTTTTGGATCTTCGTTTCTAAGGGCGTTGCTATGGGATTTTTGGGGATACCAGAGGGTCTCTTCGATTTTTTTTTTTTTTTTTTTGCATGAATAGGCTAAGCATACATTATTGAACAACATTCAAAGAAAAAACAATATACGATAATTACTTCACATATGCCCTTTAATTATGGTAAAAAAGTTTTCTCCATCCATACTAATGCTGGTAGAATATTTTTATTTTAATTACTCCAGTTCGATAAACCGCATTCTCGTTTAAAGTATATTGTTCTCTTTCTGAAATTCTGGGGATCCACGAAATACAGTTTGAAAACCTAGACCATGACTTTTTAATTCTTTTTCAGAGGTACGCTTGTGCGTTATGACGAAATTTCATAAGGCGTAGACCAACGTTGCAGCTTAAAGATTGTTCATGTCTATGCCCCAACTTGCAACCATAGTGATGAATAAATAGAGAGCATCTAGGAAGATGTTCATTTAGCCAGCGACAGAGCAAAACCCCTTATACAATAATTATGGGAGATTTATTATTATGGTTTACTGATGTAAATGTACACACACACACACACACACACACACACACACACACACACACACACACACACACACACACACATATATATATATATATATATATATATATATGTGTGTGTGTGTGTGTGTGTGTGTGTGCGTGTGCGTGTGTGCGTGTGCGTGCGTGTGCGTGTGTGCGTGTGTGTGTGTGCGTGTGTGTGTGTGTGTGTGTAAATATATACACACATACATATATATAATTATATATGTGTGTGTGCGTGCCTGTGCATGTGTGTGTGCGTGCATATATGTATGTGTATGTATGTATATATATATATATATATATATATATATATATATATATATATGAATATGTATATATACATGTGTGTGCATGTATATATAAGTAGATAGATAGATAGTGCGCTCGCGCGCGCGCGCGTGTGTGTATGTATTACTATTCTATTGATTTATTTTACGGTCTCTCATTCTTACATAACCCTTTCATTTTTATTATCAATAATCCATATTTACACACTTGATAATGTAACCATTTTCTTTTTAGTAACACTTTTTATTGACTGACTCATTCTGCGTCCATTAATGTGTTCTGTGAATTCCTGCGAAATAAACTGCGCCTCAAAATCTGTGTTTACGAGAACCACCTATAATTTTCCAAACACCATAATACATTTTCCATTTTTTGTTTCGTCTACGGAAATCACATTTACAGATATATACTTATTGGACACCAATATTTATGACAAATGCTGAGGAAAATCCATTCTGAATTATATTCACAGGTTTTGAAAATACATTGCTTTAAAGGGCCGTACAGCCCTACCGTGACCTGAAATGAACGAGGTGTCACGTGTCGTCTGCGGAATAGGGTTACACATATATAAGGTTACAGGTACTATCGCCAAATGAAAAAATGTTTTAGGAAAAGTGAAGTGTTGCGAGAGGGTGTGATCACATATTCATGAAACTGGTGTGAAGTGGTACACGAAGAACCACAATAAATATGTAATTAAAACGGGCATAGGCATCGGGAAGCAAGCCTCGCGGCGCGGTAACGAGCGACAGTCGAGCGCCCAACAGCCTGTCATATTCCCAATTATCTCGTAGGCTAACGGGCGCACCCAAGGTCGACCACCTTAGCAAAGCCCCAGGTGTCCCCCACCAGGAGTCCGAATGCCGTGCCCGAGGCCCACAGGTACCCGACGAGCGAGGGTCGGCAGGTGATCACGGGGCGGCGACCGCAGAGGGCGACGCGGCGCCTCACGTGCTCGTCGAGTGTAAACAAACCTCAGCTGGAGGAGGACGTGTCCCCGCCTCTCTCCTTGGCACTGGGCACCCTTCGCCTTGCCCTTGGGCATGAACATGCCCCCGCCACCAGGACTGTGTGAGTACTGAACCTGGGCTATCGTGCACGTGTAATTACGGTGTATTGTTACGTCACAAGGCATTTATTGAGCGAGAGTAGATGCAGCGGCCGCACCCATTGCCCTGGCACGACGAGACAGGGAATTTATCTCTATCTGTTTGTCTGCTCGGTCTGCGAGCTATTGTTCTTCCAGACAGTACTGTGAGAGACACAGAGCATGAAAATATGTTGCACTAGTGGCCGAAGCAATGAAGACAGAAGCAGAAATAAAGTGTGTTGGTTACCCCCTAGATTAGCGTCTTCCATTGGCATTCTTTCGTGTCCTTGTCATCGTGTGTCAGCTTTGTGTGGGATTAAAATGCTTTTTTGGCGTCTTTCTTTGATTCTAGCATCCACACTGTTTTTCATATGCAAATTGATATAAAACTATTCTTTTAATCTCATGGGAGTTCATTGCCTTGCATTAATTAGCAACAGACTGGCATCTTTGTCATGAATAGGTAGTAATTGGATGCAGTTTATATGTTACATTGTTCTCACCTCTGCAGTTCCTTGGGTTTCAGCAGAATTCTCCAGTGAAGGAAGTGGTAGTATTTTTAAGCAATTACACTTATTTCACTCTAACAGAAGTCAGCTAGCCATGCTTTAGTCATGACATCACTGTTAATGTTTACATCTCAAGTATGGCCAGGCAGTTATAATGCAATACCCAAAATTTTGCATATGAGTGGCAAAACCAAGTTTAAAGAAATATATTGTTTTTAAAATATAGTCAATAATGAGGAAGAGCAATTATAGATGTTAGGTGGAGTGAAGTTTCAGGGGTACTTAAGCGACCGTGAGATGGTTATTGGTTGTAATTTGATGGTACATTTCCTCAGTCTGTGTCCTAGAGAGACACAATTTCTTTCCTGCATAGGCACTAAAATGCTTGGAAAAATACAAAGTATATTACTGAGCTACCCTCTTGTAGGCTAATAAAGTAAAAAAATTGTCAATGAAAAGTTGCAATTTTTGATTGCAGTATTTTTTTCCATAGTTTGTTAGTCTGAGAAGGAAAAAAAAGTTAGATTGAAGTTTCAGTTTATCTTGCATTAGGAATCCATGATTAAGAAGTATTTGTTACATTTGTATAACTATGCTGTTGTTTTTGTTTTGAATTATACTTTAGATTAGAGGTT